ACATACTATGTTTGGATCTTTTTTTATTATATGTTTCTTCCAGGGGAATGGAAGCACTTAAAGGGCAGATGTTGTGGGTAGAATTGTATCCCTTCCCAAATTCACACTAGGGTCCAAACTTGGACATGTCAGAAAGTAAATTTATTTGGAAATAGGGTCCTTTCAGATGCACTTAGCTAGACAGGTGTTAGGGCAGGTCCTAGCTCAATACCACGGGTGTTCTCTTTAAGAAGCCAGACAGGGACTCAGACGCACATGTGGAGAGGCCAGGAGAAGATGAGACAGAGATGGGGTGACAGTGCCACAAAGCCCAGGGGCATCAGAGATGGACAGAGAGCCACCAGAGGCCAAGACATGGGGCAGACTTGCCTTTGAAGTCCTGGGAAGGAACAAATTCTGGGGACACCCTGAGATTGAGCTTTGGAGTCTCAAAGAACTGTCGACACAATGAATTTCTGTCGTTTGAGCCACCTTACTATGTGGCACCTTTTAAAGGCAATCCTAGCAAAAGAATACAGCAGAAAAACTTCAAATTTTTATTTCATTCTAGATCTGAAATTAATTTAGAAGACTGGGAAGTGACAGATCAGGGGTACAGACTGCAATTCTCCCAGCATGCATTGCTTGTTCAGCCAAATCTCCCCTGCCTTATGTCTTGTCCCTAAGGGTACATTTAATCTGAATAAGACCAGTGACAAGTGTAAGCTAAACGGTAGGGTTTACAATTGTAGCACTGGTCCGCTTTATGCCTTGAATCTAGCCCTCGCTGCTTGGCCACTGCAACTTATTTTTAAAAGGGCATGTTTCTTTCTCTTCCTCTCCCCTTGATCCTCTGTAATCTCTCCTGCTCCCTAATCTCAGGGGAATAGAATCACCTTTCTTCCCCATCCCAGGCAGAGTTATCTGTCCTGGAGTACACAGCCACCACAGGAATGAAGCAATCTAGACTTTGGGGATGGCACCCAAAGATCTCCCAAATTAACAAGTGAATCACACCTCCAATGGAGAACATGGGAATGTAGCCTTGAATCACCTCCATAAAACCCCCCCAGTTCCTTCTGGCGGACAGAATCACAGCCTCTAACAGGACTCCCCTGGGTTTCTCTTTTGCTAGCAAAGCAATAAGCTTTTTTTCCCCTTTTCTTAAGATGGCGTCCTTAGTATTGGATTGGCATCAGGGATAAGGATGGAGCTTTCCGCAACAGAAACGATAACTCTAAGATTCTGCTTTAGTCTCTGCTTTGATTACTGAACTTTCACTCAGCTGGGGAGAGTGACAGGGTGGCCACTTGGAGAGCTGGAGTGAAGCATGACTAGGTCCCTGTGCAGAGCACGGCACAGTGCCACACCCCTACTGGTTCAGAAGGTGGCTTTTGAAGGGCTGGCAGCACCAGCGTGTGCTGATCCCCCAAGTTTCCTTGTTTTGAATCCCCAGCAGTCTGAGAATGGTGGTCACACACAGCGAGATCCAAGTCTGGCTTCGTAGGGAAAACTCCCAGTCAGAAACTGGTCTCGGATCTGGGTGCCGCCCAGGGCCAGCGTCTTCCAACCTAGAGGGGGGTTTTTACAAAGTCCCTGAAGATCCAGTGTGATGTGTGAATGGCTGAAGAAAGGTCAGGTTCTTGATCAGCTGCTCTGTGCTTGCTCTTGTACACCTGCAGAAAGACCTGAGACAGGAACCTGGGGGGTGTGGGGGGTCACAGGTCCTGAGGAATTACCTGCCCTTTTGTCCAAAGGGATCTGTTGAGCATCAACCAAGGTGGTGAGGCACCCTCTTAGAGGCTGGGGGTTAAAGAAATGAATAAGACCTTGTCACTGCTGACTCTCAGGTTACAAAGGGAGATGACAGTTTTACAAAAATGTATTGGAAAACAGAATAATGAGCACTGTTATCAGGGCCAGTGATTGGGAGAAGGGTGGAGTTTTTCCTGTTCTTGGGAGAGGAACTAGAGAGGTTGTCACTTCATATAAGCCTCCCAGGAGTGGTCTTTAAATTCCATCAACCTTGATTCAAAGGAGGACCCAAGTCTTTTGTCCTGAGAGTAAAAGGAGCTTTCCTGTCACGCCCACTATTGTTAATTCCAGTCGGAGAAGACTGCAGAATCGGCAGTTAAGTGTCACAGGCATTTACGTCTTCCAATATTTGCTCACACAGGCAGAATACTTCCCTCAAAGGAAATGAGGTTCCTTCACGGCTATGGGAATCTGATTCTACTAGAAGGGATCTAAGGGTCAAACAGCAACGATCTCTTCAGCAGGAGATCCAGACGTTCACAGAGGGAGCTTTCTTTGTATTCCCAGCGGATCTCAGTGGTATCTGGTCTGGCCATTCTCAGGTTGACTTGAGACATTCAAGGTTACTTCCTCTTAGTGCGGACAACTCAGGGAAATTTGCAAAAATTCTAAAACAAATCATTTTGGTTTTACTTGAATTGCTTTTGAAAAAAGAGTAAGAGACGTCCTGTCCCTCATTAACTAGGGCTTCTCTGGAGGCAGTGGCAGAGCGGGAGGAACCTGTTGAGAACCTCAAAGGCTCCAGCCTTTGAGATTCCGAGAGGAAGGTGGGTTCAGGAAAATGAAGTGTCAGCCCCTGGAGCCAGGTCCCAGCATCACTGCCCAGGCCAAGTCTGCCTCGAGTTCCTGTTCTTTTTTCTTTTTTTCTCCGAAGCCCAACTCCAAGGCCTAAATCCTTTTCCTTTCTTTGAGCTTAGACTACCTCTGTCCACTCTTGGAAGAAAGCTGCCCGGGTTTCCCTGGCAGGTTCCTCAGCCCCAAAGGCAGCAGGGAGGCCTTTCTCATTTTGATGAGCTTTGTTTCTTTGGCCATCGGGAGACCGCAGGAGCTAACAGAATGGATGCATATGCTGTGTGTTTTTCTTCTTTACTTTCTATAGATCTCTCTATATTTTGGCTATGAACCACCACCTTTTAAAAGGCAGCACAATAAGTTTTTCCAACATTTAATATTTTTGTCCCATTTGACTTGTTTTTAGAAATTTTTTTTTTTTCCACTTCACTTGCTTTTTTAGTTGCTAGCATGGAAACCAACTCTTGGAAAGCTCAATCAACAACAGCAGCAAAGGAATGTGTGAGATGTAGATATCTCAAGAGATCTGCTTTAAATTCACGGACAGGATCCCCTCTAAGCAAGAATCTCCACTGGAATTTGGTTATATCATTCTAGAACAGTATGAGACAAGTCCAATGCTTGCATTGAAATCTTCCTGTCTAAGACCAAGGTACCATGCTCCAGTCTCTTTCCCTGAGGAGAATTTTCATGTATATCTTAAGTTTCTTCTTGATATTCTAGAAACATATATTTGAATAACAGCAATGAACAAAATATTATAGTTCAAGAAACTCAAGCCACTCAAGGTGGGTCGTTCTTCCAAGGAAACACCTGGGAAAAGGTGCCTTTGTGTACATCAGAGAAAATGCTAGAAATACCCTAAACATCAAGAGTAAGAGGTTGGCCTGGTGTGGTGGGACACCAGAGACTCAGGAGGCTGGGGGCAGGAGGATGGCAAGTTGGAGGCCAGCCTGACTTTAAGATAAAAAATAGAGGGCTAAGGATACAGCTCAGTAGCAGAGCTTTCCTAGATTCAATCCCCAGTACCAGGGCGTGGGGGACTAGGAGATTGGTGAAACAAATAATGAATACCCAAAGTTAACACTTTCAGAATTGGAGCTATCACTGCAGCTTATAGCTGGTGTAGCCATAATCAGAAGCTCCTTTGTCTGATACCACAGTGTGCTCTTTACCCCAAGCAAAGCAGCCTTCCCTACCACAAAATAAAAAGCATTTCTCATTCATTTCATGTGGGCTGCTTCTCCTGGTGAATAAGCCAACAAATTTGGAGAAGCAGCTCCCGCAGAGCAACTTGTACCATCAGGCGAAGGGATGCTTTCTTTTTAATAATAATGAAATTTAACACAGTGTGCTCAATTCCAAAAGGTGCAAAGGCTTAAATCCATTGTCATTCAAACTTCCATCCCGTCCCTCGAGGTGGTGTGACTGTTAATTTTATGAACGTGGGGCGCTTGGGTTTACATCCATCTTCCAAACAAGGTGGGGACGGCACTATAGGTACCTTCTGTTTTCATCTTTAAAAAGATGTACACTGCTTGCAATTTTAAAAGACCTGACACAGAAAGGTAACCAAACTAGTGCTGATTTTTTTTTAATGGCCCCAAAGAAATTATTCATCTGAAGGAATTGTGTAATGTATATCTTTGAAAATCATAAGTTAAAACAATCTGGGAGAATTTAACACAATTCCTTGAAATGTTATGGATTGCAAAGTTAGCCTGAGTTGGAAGTTCTAAGCTATTTTCTCTTCCTATGTAGGTTTTGTACACATAGTATATACATGTTGGCTTTACAAAAATACCTGTTTTTCAGCTGTCTTCCAGAAAGGTTGAGAATATTTTGTCTTTGTGGAGTTTATTTTTAAAAGATGGGGTGAGGGTGGGGACCCATCTGGGCTAGTTCTTTGCCGGGGACTTGTTAATCTTTCCCTTTTACCCTTCTGTAGTGCTGGGACAGAATCTAGAGCCCTGGCAGGCTAGGTAAGCGCTTTACCCCTGAGCTGCACACCTACCCCCTGCTCTTGTTTATCTTTAAGTGAAAACCATTCCAGTATTATTTGGACTCATATTTCTAAGAAAGGAAAGAAGGAAGTGGTAAACACTGAAGACAGCCTTAATTCCCTTGCTTAGTGGCATGGGTGATAAGGACCAACTTGCTTTAGAGCGCCCCAAAAGTATATGCGGGCAGGGCGCCCTGTCCTTCAGCGTTCTTATTTTAACCAAACCTGACCTCCCAGGCGGGAGGGGGCAGTCCAATTTGTAAGTCCCCTGACTGCTTTTAACAGGCGTTTGGAAAGGCTAACACAAGAACTGTCGACCTTGAAAGGGGAAATTCCCAGTGGGAATTTATGCATCTGTAGCTAGTTACAGAAAAAGGTAAAAAGTAAACCATTATCTGGGGTGTTCTTGGCTTCAGAAAGAAATCCCCGAGTTCAGAGCGAAGCCGGCGAGGCCAGGTTCTCTGCCAACTCCGGGTGCATTCAGGCGCGGACTCGTCTTCACCAGAAATCGCTGCTTGGGTCCCACCACCCTTCCCGGCCAGGTTCTGGGGCAGAGGTCATTCCTGTTCATCTGGCGACTCTGGAAGACACTGGGTGACCACAACAGTGTGTTGGGCCCAGCGCAGTGTGGCAGTAGGGGTTCAAGGGCTTCAGAGTCTCTCTGGGGCCCATACCGCTAACCGGGGATTTTGGACCAAGTTGCCCACCGGTGCCCCTCGGCTTGCCCTGCTGCGCCTGGGGTCCCCACGCCTCGTCTCCGGTGGTTGCATCCGCACAGTGTCGTTCCTCTTTGGACGAAGGTCTCCCACGAGTTGGCACCTGGTGGGCCCACGAAGATAGGCGCAAAAGAAGGAAGGAAAGGAGGTGGGTGGGCGGAGTAGAGATGTGGTCTCCGGGTCGGTCCCGTGACCCACGGCACTGCTTGTCAGACAGGGCCATGACCCGGGGCTCGGGAGGTCCTCACCAGGCGCCTACACGCACCGACTCTTCCACTAGGAGACGAGTCACGACGCATCTACCTCACCAAAGCGAGGGGCTCTCTGGCAAACCTCCCATGCTCTTCCTCCTCAACCCGCACCCAGACACTGAGAGGTCAGGCTCGGCCTGGGGGGGTAAGGTCTGGACCCCTGGTCGACCGCCCTGGCCTGCGGCCCTTCTCTCAGTTCTTTAGGGCCCCGTCACTGGTTTCCAGGGTCGATCGGCCACGACTCTGTAGATCCCACCCACCACGTGACATTGCCCAGAGGCGGGGAGGGTGGGGTCCCTCATGGCTCGGTTCGGTTGCAGATCCTTTCCACCTAGATGCTCCCCCCAAGTTCCTAACGCCTCCCTACTCCCCAGGATTGCTCTTTTCCGACCCATCGGCAAGCCGTGGCTGGCCCCGGTTCTGCGCGACTTGCGGTCTCTGCCAAGCCCTCCATCCCTCCGGGTTGAGGCTCGCCCACGGTTCAGAGGGGCAGCACCGGCTGGGCACCGTTCTCCCCACCGGCCCGGGACCTCAGGGAACGGCTTCTTTCGCTCGTGCACCCGAACTCCGCGAGCGGTGCGTCCGGGGATTCCCCGGCCTTAAGCGGCCACGGCCCGGGCAGAGTTGGTCCCGGAGTCTGGGCTCCCCGAAGGTGACGAAACGGACTCTGAGCTTGGGCAGGGGGGAGAGAAAAATGCCCCCACTCCGGCCCCGGGGCCTGGAGCCCTGGGCGGGGGCGAGTCCCAGGGGCTGGTGGTTTTCCAAGTTGGAAGCGGGCTCGGCCCTCAGCGTCCCCTGACCCCACCTCCGCCCCTGTCCCCCGGGGGCCGGTAGAGGGAGGGGCGGGGCCGCTCGTCGCCCCAGACGCTTGCTGTAGTTACTGCTTCTGATTCTCCCGCGCGAGCCTTTCTCGTCTCCGGGCAAAGCCGCTGGGTTACGGTCCCCGCGGTCCGGCGAGGCCCGGGTTCGCTCTGAACTCTCGCCAGGGACGCGCCCCGCCCGCGCCGCGGAGCCTCTACCCCGCCCGCAGCCGCCCGCGCCGCGCTCGGAAAGCCCCCGCGGCTCCTCCCACCCCCAGGGGCTTTTCTCCAGTCTCCAGTGGCTTCTCCTGAGCGCAGCCGCCTGGCGCTTGTTTCCGCCGGGCTGGAGCGCGCGGGCCACTGCTTTTCTGGGGACGCACGGGGCGAGGAACGGTGACCTCGGTACGCGTCCCGCGTCCGCGTTTTCCGGCCCGCGCGGGGACCCCCGGCCCGCGCCCCGGCCGCCAGCATGGTGCTGCTGGCCGGGCCCGGGCCGGAGGGCGGCGGGGCGCGCTGCTTGTCCCCGCAGCCGCCGACCGCACCCCGGGGCGCGGAGACCGGGGACGACCCAGCGGACTACGAGGAATACGAGGACTTCTCGAGTCTGGCCGACACCCGCAGCATCGCTTCGGACGATTCCTTCTACCCTCCTGAAGGCGAGGACGAGTGCAGCGAGGTGAGCTCGGACAGCGTCTCGGAAGACTTCCCGGAGGCGGCCACCTTCCTGCGCGCCGCCTGCGCCAACGACGTGGGGCTGCTGCAGGCGCTGGTGCGGCGGGGCCCGCGCGTCGAGGAGGTGCAGGAGACCGACCGCAACGGCCGGGTAAGCGGGCGTCCCCGCAGGGCTGTGCTCTCTTCGCTCAGTACCCTCTTTCGCCCCGGCACTCCCCAGGTCCGGGCCCAGGCCGGCCCCGCGGTTACCCCGGCCACAGCGCCTTTTGCTCTCTGTCCGCGCTCGCGGCTGGTGCTGGGCGGGTTCGCTCTGCCCAAAGTGCCGCGCGACGGGAGACGCTGACACCCCGCTTCCTAGGGGTGACACCGCCCGACACCGCCCCGTGCTCCCTGAATTGGCCCTGGAGGCCGGCGCTGGAATCTTGAGTTGACTCTTGTGGGGCCTCTTCAGCCTTTTCCCCATCTGATCGCTACCTTTCCTCGGGAACCTGGTAGGCGATCGTGAGCCCTCGCCTGCAGGGGACAACCCTTCCTGACCAGCGCCCGGTTTGCCCTCTCTGCCCTCTCTCTGGTCTTGCCCCCAAACGCTGTTCTCAGGTCCGTTCCTCCCGGGGCCACCAGGATTTGGAAGCGACAGTTCCTTTCTTTACACAGACATACTATTCTTTCCTACCGCTGTTCCTGGTGGCCCGCGCAGCCACCAGCCGGCATGATCTGTCCTGGTCACCGCCAGGAGCCAAGGCCCAGCAGCCCCCACTTCCGGCTAGGCAGGGCCCTAGGGGAGCAGCCACACACACCTGGATCGGGCAGGTGGGGTTGGAGGGAAGGAGGCACTGAGTACCCGTTAATTATGCCAAGGTGTTGAAATCTACAAATGTTTAGAAAAAAGTTGGCTTGAGAGGACAGGAGAAGGACTGGCTGTGGAACAGAAGCCACCCAGCACTTCCACAGAGAAACTGCAGGGTGACCATGCTGGTCATGTCCCCATTAACCTCTGCTGGGTGGACAAATAGCAGTGTGTTCTCACCTGATTTTCGTATCCCCAGACTAGCAAAGCAGGGGTGCAGGTGCCTCTGGGAGCCTGCAGCTGACGGAAAACATGCGATTTGATTTTTGGGACCCAGGTGACCCTGTTTCTTTGGCCTATGTTGGGGCACAGGGTGCAAGGTGGTTGGCCCCTTTGTGGTCTGGGTGGGCTTTACAAACATGGGAAGCAGCGAGTGTCACTTTTGTTTGTGCTGATTTGACACCACAGTTGTCAGGCAGGGAGAACTAAGGAGGGGACCCAAGGTGGGTTCCCAAGGCCAGCACCACCCCAGTGGCCTGTAGTCGCGTCACTGTTTGGCACTGGAGGGGGATGCTGCAGCCTCCCCCTTCTGCCCCAGGTAGCTGTGAGTCCCTCCCGGGGGCTCAGGTGGCAGCTGGCTCTACTTTCAGTTTCACCTGGTGGGAGTTCCCACGCCCAGATGCTCATCTCTCCTCCCTGAAGCCAGTGCCATGGCCAGCTTTAAAGGAACCTCAGGAAGGTCACAGGTAGGGGAGGTCCCCTCTCTGTGGTCCCAACTGGGCTCAGCCTCCGCTCTTAGCTGCCACAGGGCTCAGCTTTACTAGGTCTCCTTTAGTGGAAAAAAAAACATAAGGAAGTTTGAAAACAGCTGAGAAAAGTGACAAGAATGTAAACGGGTCCTAGGGGGCTTAGGCTAGACAGAGGGTCCTGGGACCCCTTTGAAAGCCCCTGTCTCAGGGAGCGTAGGGGCGGGGGGGGGGGCTCCAGCCTCCCGGCATCTCTGCCTCAGTTTCTTCCCCTGTAAATAGGTTACCGTCGGCCAGTGCCTCCTGGGTTGAAAGCACAAGACCTCATCTTGCTCATGGAGCTCTGAGGCCGTTTAGGGGCTTGTCCCGTTTCTCACTCCCCTCCCCCCCCCCCACCTTTGCTCACCTTCCAGCTTGGCTTTGTGTTTTGCCGGGTGAAAGATTTCTCTGCTTTTCTTTTCTCTGGACTGTGAAGGTGGAAACTCATGACGCTTGTTTCTTTGTTTTGAGTCTCCTCTGTACCCCATCAGATAATGACGGGGACCCAACCGTGAGGGCCCTGGGCTCTTTAATCTCCCATCAGAAGGAGCAGGGCCCTGTGCTGTGCTGTTCAGGGGAGAAGGCAGGGGCTTCCCTTCTCCACATTCGCTTCATGATGCTGTTGGTTACACAGCCTCTGTCTCCCCGAGAAGCTGCTGAAAGGATCCAGTGTGGCAAAGTCCAGTGCCCAGACCCATGGAAGACGGGCAGAGCCACGGCAGAAGTGTTTACTGAGACTGAGTGGGTGCGGGGGGTACTTCAGGAGGCTCGGGTGAATCCAGCAGCCCCTGCATTTGAGCATCTTGGCCCATTAGTGAGAGAGGAACTTGAGAGGGAGCCAGAGCTTCCCCGTAGAGGCTGGGTATGAGAAGGGCCTCCAGAGACATGCAGGGTGAGGACAGTCCTGAAGGCCCGGTGAGAGCTGAAGAGGGCATGGACAAGGGGACGGAGGACATTCTAGTCGGGCAGGTGGAGCTGAGGGGGTGGTGGCAGCTGCAGCGTGGTTTGGTCCTGGTGTGGTGTGAGAGGAGGGGATGTGGAAAGCAAGGCCAGAGAGCCTCTCCTGAGCAGGTTGAGTGGGGCGTGGTCGTGCAGGCCTATAATCCCAGGGACCTGGGGGATCCCAAGTTCAAGGCCAGTCCTGGCGACTTAGAGACGGAGCTCCGTGGTAGAGTTCTTCCCCGGCTTGTACAAGGCCCTGGGTTCAATCTCCAGCCCTGGAAATAAGAAGAAAAAACAGGGAATTGGGAAACAAACTGGTTTCAGAATGTCAGTGGCCCAACGTGGGGCTGTGGTGTCACATGGCTTGCCTCTTAGGGCCTGCAGGTTTCCGTTTTAAGAGTTCCATCTTTGGGAGTCCTTTTCTGTTTTCCCCCACCTAAGCCAACAAGGCCCAGGAGCTAGTTACAGGCAGTCCAGGTACAGACAGTGAGGGCTGAGACTCAGGATAGGATGGTGAGTTGAGAGAGCAGGTGACACTGGAGCAAAGGACAGAGAAGGTCTCTGAAAAAGAGCCTTGAGTTGATGGAAGTGCCAGTGCAAAGGCCCTGAGGGAGAAACTTCGCTGTGGCCTGGTCTACAAGTTCATCAGGAGTAGTGGCCCCAACAGCTTGGTGAGTAGAGGGGTAACTGCATTAATGGCAGAGGAATAGCTCCAAAGAGCCAGCTTCCCCGGGGGTGCTTGGGGGGTTTCTAAAGGGTTCTCCACTTGGCTGGTGTGTTGAGTGGTGTTCTGCCTGTGCCAACAGGCATTCCATTAGGCTCGGGTGACCGAGGATCAGATGTTTTTGTTTAAGAAAACGTGTTCTTTCCTGCCTCCTGAGACGAGTAGAATACGGGATGTGGCTCAGCACACTGTTTTCCTTCTAAAATATTAATTGCTCTAAAAGGATTGTGTGATTTAATATGCAACAAGTGGATGTGTGTCAGGTGATCCGCTGACAGCATGCAGTGCGGCTCCCGCCGTCTTCAGGGCTTAGGATCACCGTGTTGCCTCTGATGTGGGGACAGTGGACGTGGCCATAATTCTTTTTCTTAATTCTTGTCCTCCTTGTATTACCGCTCGAGAGTCTCTTCTACAGCCGTGGTGGCCCCTTAGGTGGCAATGAAAATGAAGGAGGTGTTTGTGCTGTTTTAATTGTCACAGAAGGACACTTTGCACGGCAGACAGCTCCTGAACCAAATTAGGCCCAATCATGCTGACTTTAAAACACGCCACTGCTCTCTGGGTGGCGTTCTGGGCCTGCAGGTTTAAATGACAGGCCCTCAGTCCCTTGGGTTCTATTAGCAGAGCAAAGCCAGACACCCAGGATGGGCGTCTCCTTTCCTCAGGGGCTTCCATTCGAGTTCTGCAGATTCATAGCTGTGATCAGATTTTATCTTGAAATATACTTGAGAAATTTGTCTTGCTGTCATTCATTGTTCGAGTGCTCCAAACAGATGTATAAACTGTGGAATCACCTGCCCTAAGACGAGGCTTACATTATTGCAGCCCATGGGCAGCCCTCTGCCCTCACCAGGCCTGGCACTCACAGCCTGCATGAGCGTGGAAACAGGGTGATTACTCCCATTCTTGCTGGTTACTATAGAAAGTGGACAGGCCTCATGTCTCTCCACGCGTACTGGGGTCCAGCGGGCACCAAAAGAGTCTTGTTTGCTGTTTGGGAACATATGTCCCTGTTGTAGTAGTTGCATCCTCAAATTTTGGGGTGTAGAAAAGCCGGTGACAAGGGAGATGGGAGTAGAATTCTAGACTCACAGCCCCAGGGACTGGAACAGATGTGAGTCAATTTCGGTGGCCTGGGAAGACTTGGGCCTGTGACAGGCGGTTAACAGATGTCCATCACTTCCTCCTTACTGACCATGGTGGGCTGCTCCAGGTCCAGCAGCAGTGGAGAGACCCATGTGCTTCTCATACAGGTGTGCTATTTATCTGTGGCCACAGTAGTGCTGCATATGTTAGTCAGCCTGGTGTTACTGTAATGAAATACCTGAGATAATTAACCATAAGGAGAAGAAGTTTATTTTGGCTCACTGTTTCGGAGCTTCCAGCCCAAAATTGGGTAAACCCATTGCATTGGCCTCACCCATTTGCGTCTGGTGGGGGTGCCAGGTGCAACATTCAGGAGCACGTTGGTGGAGCACAGTGCTTACCACTTGAGGCAGGAAGCAAAACAGAAGAGGAAGAGACCAGGGGCTTGCAATTTCAACCTGTCCTCCTCTTTCCCCCAGCACTGGGAATTGAACCCGGGGCCTTGCAAACTGACTTTACATCCCAAATCCTGTTTTAAAATTTTATTTTAAAACAGGATTTTATTGTGTTGCCCAGGCTGGCCTCAACTTTGCTATCCTCCTGTCTCTGCATCTGAGTAGTTGGGATTACAGGTGTGCACCACTGTACCTGGCTTGGAATCCCTTGGAGGAAACATCTTCGATGACCTCAGGACCTCCTGCCAGGCCGCACCCCCTAAAGTCTCCACCACCTCCTAATAGCACCACCCTGGGAACCCAAACTTTAACACGTGGACCTTTGAGGGACACACAACTATGAAAGCCCACGGGGGTGTGCCACAGTGACCA